GGGGGGGGGGGGGGGGGGGCTAACTTTGTGGATGTCCTAAAGCATTTTGCATCTGGAGGATCACTTATTTTTAGTTCCGGGGAATGCCGCCAGACGGCGCCCTTAAGCATCTGCGGTAGTTCCAGAAAAATCCGCTAGTTAAGATTTAAATGTAGTTCATTCCCAGCTGCAATGCACACCAAAGGATACCTAAGTTGGAACAGATAAATTACAAGAACACAAGGGTACATTACTTTTCAAATACTTTTATTTTATCTACCCCTTTATGTAAGTCAAAGTGACTTGATCTACTACAATTCGCATACGATTTATTTTTTCATCTTTAATTTACTTAGAATATATATCATATTAAATTAATTGCTCGGTTTCTATATTCCATAGAAAAGATTAGGGTAATAGATTGATTTCACTTGCTTATATTTCTCGGCTCTCTGCCGTTCCTACTTCCTCGATCGTTTCTGATGAAATGCCGGCAGCGGCCATTATTTCTTTTCCCACCCATCTCCCACACTTTATTCCACACTCTGCTCGTTCCCGAATACATAATAAGCTCTGTTATCCATCTTGATTTAAAAAAAAAAAAAAAAAAAGTCCGCTCACAATTGCCATTATTGAGAAAAACAATCGGCCATTATTTTATATAATAAAATCGGCAATAATTACCCTGGTAGAGGACAGCGCAAAATTCTTTTCGTTCGCGGTTTACAGGCAAAAATTCGCATAACGCGTTATGCAATTTCAAGATGCATACCGAATAATTGCATAATATACAATTCTTCACGCTTTACGCGCCCATGATCGCCTCTAATGTTTTTTTTTTCTTCTTCTTTCGCGCAACTTTCTCAAAGCCCCGTTGGGACATTAATTACTTTAAAAACGAAGAATTTTATCTTCTCTCTTTCTCTGTCTTATCCTTTCCTCTTGGCTTGTCGTTCTCTTTCTTCCTCTTGCTAGGCAGATTGTCATACGTGACGAGTAATTAGTCTCGCCACTTGGGACAATAATTTACATACACCAAAAAAAGGGGGTATCGGTGATCTCTATTATTTTATACTAATGGAATTATTCTCGCTCTCTAAGTACTACGGTACGATACTATATTCTATATGTATGTCATCGTATTAAGTTATAGAGTCGATTTAGAATAGCTGTTGCGCAAGGATGGCACGATCTCGATCACGCATGGTGGACAAAATTGATCATAAACAATTCGACCGAACTGTATAAGAATAAATGAGAATGTGATCGTCGGAAAGAAAAGAAAGAAAGAAAAAAAAAAGTAACAATGTAAAATCTGTATGGTTACTCGTCCACCACTTTGAAAACTCGACTTTAACTACGAATCCCATCCCGAGGTGAACTATGTACAGTATGTTTATGACGTGTTCATCAGACACGGTTAACAAATCCCAAGAAAATAATTGCTAGGCCCTATTCTCCATTAATTCTATTTCTTTTCTTCTTTGCTCGGACTACTTTTCCACCGTGTCTCTCTCAGTCTCTATATTTTGTAATATTTTATTATTCCAAAAATTATCGTTTGAGCTAGAGAGTCATCAGCAATATCAAATCCAATATCCGTTCCCTTACCCTTTGTAATTCCTCGTTATCTTTTTAGTCCATTACGATTCGGCAGGCAGTTACGTGTCACGTGATATTTTACCAACATAAAGAAAATTCCTCATATTCGCAAGCGACCTGTCTTTGGCAATCAATAGAAACACAAAAATCTTTTACCGCGTCAAAAAATAATTCTCGAAACGAAATAGTAAAATGTTCTCCTTACGGCAACTTATTGCGCATGACGAAATCAAATTACCCGCCAATTTTATACCAAACAAAATTCAAAAGTCAACGTATCAAGCAACGTTGAATTCCATTCGTCTATATATATATATACACTTAAAAAGTCAGTCGCTCGCGCACGTTAGAAGGAAATTCATTGGCAAAGATACCACGTTAACCATTAATCGTATAGTCATTATAGAACTACGTACGTCATAAGACTCCTAAGTAAAAATGCAACATGGCGACCGCAACGTGTCGCCTCTAGCGCCGACTCTACGTACAATAATACAGCGGTTAAATTCTTGGATATGGTTGTTCACATTTTTATTAAAAGCCAGTGCGTATCACGGAAGCGTACCGTACGAGCATTCCCTGTCAATACTTTGATCGCGAAGACGTTGCGTAAGGGAATATACACCAAACGAATCGAAAAGAAAAGTCGAACGAACGAAAGGTTAGAGTCCGGTGAGTGAAGAAGATAAATTAACAACAACGAAAAATTCCACGAGTCAAAAACGTCAACGATCCAATCGCAAAAGAGTGACATAGAAATTAATCAAAATAATAATTCGTTTAAAGTAATTGTTTACCGGTAGTCGATATCCGCCATTAACTGTCAATGCCGCGCATGCGCGCTGCGCGCCGCTAGACGCGAACGCCTAAAAATACGTAATAAGGGGAGAGCATCGAATAATGGACAATCTTTAAGTGCATCTGGCTTCTTCCACGTAATAATACGTAAACATTACCTCTCGCGATAAAAATATATTATAAACTAGAGTAGTACTTATTCTTTTGACTAGCATGTCGTGTGCTTTTTTTTTCCTTTTTTTTACATCCAAAGTGATTCCCCAAAAATTGGCTCGCAGTGACAATACTTAGAATACGTCTGACAAGTAAAAGAGCGGGAAATTCAAAAAAACCCTCGCAGTTAGCTGTCATTCGCATTGACGCGATTGAGTTGGCTTGAATTTACACGAGGAGTTAAATTTAACCAACATATACAATTACAAAAGATTAATGTATACTGTCTGTTACGTTACTTATAATTAACCCCTAAGGTGCCGTCACGTAAAATCGTGGAAATAAAATTATACGCAACCCTTAAAAAGCTACACGTTTATCAATTAGACTAAAAGTAAACTTACGTCTCTAGCGCGTTAAATTACGTCTTACTAATTTAAGGTCTCTCCTGTCACTACAATGTCTTCAAGTCGATACGACGACCGCGTCGTCTACTATTGGCCAGCGAAGACCCACCCGCCAATTTTGGTCGCAAAATACGTCAAAACCTCTATTGGAAATCACTCGACGGTTATTCTAGTGTATCATACAGTAAATTCTCACGGTACTCGTTACAATTCATATGCTCACCCGCGCTAAGATGTTTGGTTCTATTTTTCTTTTTTTTTTTCTTAATACAAGAATTCGCACATGTCAATATGTCAATAAATGTCATATATGCGTCCTGGCGTGTCCGTAGTAGTCGCGAAATTTTTATCGCTACGTTTTTCAATATATATATATATATTACCCTTAGATTAAATTTACAATTAAATTTTATTAGCAGCTACGATTTCACGCACGCCAATTTTTTTTTTTCGAAAATCAAACGAAAAGAGTCCCGTTTAGAATTTGATTACAAATTTTTTTTTCAAATTCTCAGACATCGTTTTACATTCTGATTCGCATTAGTAAGTATGGTGAGAGTCACGTGGCCACATAAGGCTCTCTCAGAAAGCTGCTCTCGTTTCACAAGTTTCTTACAGTTTATTTTTCTTCACTCTTTTTCAATCCCTCCTTTACGCCTAATTCGAAAAAAAAGTACACGTCGGCCCGCAAGCCGCCCTAGAAACTCTATCCGACCCCACTCGTAGGTATAATGATAATAATACTAAAATGTTCCCATAGTAGTATGATATATGTGCTTCTTTTTTTCTTTCTCTTTCTTTTTGATTGGAATCTACCAGACGGAACGCTTAATCGAGCGTACATAGATAGATATAAATTAGTAATAGATTATACGGCTTTAAACATTTTTTCTTTCGTAACCACGTGATAAGACTTCTTTTTCCCTCATCGATTCCGCATAGAAAAGTGTCGCCGTAAAAGTGGCCGTGAACAAGTAAATGGAGAACATGCGGTATGCAAACACAAAATATACCCATACAATAAAAAACTATTCCAACGACTTCGAATGGACGTCTGGTGGACGAACAAATGTCTTTCGGATGTTTCATATTCTATGGATATATATATATATATATATATATATATGCATATATGGATATATATATATATATATAGTGATCAGCAGTCATGTCTAGTGTAATTAGATTTTGCTAATAATTATTACTGATAAGGATCGACGTGAATTAGTAATAAAAAAAAAAATGTCCCTTCTAATTCTTCATCTCCATAACTATTTTCAGTCTTGTGGGTAATACTAACTTTAATACTTGATTAGTTCTCTGTCCCCTTTACCCAGAAGCGTATGCGATACCTCAAAGCAGGGTGTGACATACGCAACAGATAGAAATAAACCTGAAAATTGACAACACCGTCGAATAATAACATTGCGGGTTCGATACGTGAAGTTTTCCAAAAAATCATCAAAAAAAAACAAAAAAACAAAAAAGCAATTCTTTACACTCGGCCACAATTAAAACTGTACTCTACGTCAATGCCACAGTCGTGAATTCTATATATATATTTTTTATGTTTTCACTGACTCCAAAACGTGCGTTATTGTCACAAATTTGACATATAGGGTGATCCTTGTATTTTGATATAGATTTGATTAGCGCCCGTATCGATCATTGATCGTCGTAACGAACGTATGCGCGTAAGCAAGGTAATGCCACGTGTGCGCGAGACGTGACAGTAGTATACATTTTTTGTCTTTCAATTATTTCATCAATTTTTCTCTCGTTCGTCGGCTTCGTCCAGTGCTATTGTTTAAGATTACAATTATACTATATAGAAGGGCGTTACGTCACCGCTTATTATTATTGCGCTCGATATCACTATTAAAATGACTTTCTCGTCTCGTTTTAGCCAACGTATGCACAATCAATCCGTCTCTCTTACTGGCTTCCTCCCTCTTTCTCGCTCTGTCTCTCTCACTCTCACTCTCCGTCGTTCACGTCTCACTCGCACTCTCGTGCACAAACTCCGCGTTAACGCTGAAGAGAAAGAAAAAGTAGATCAACCAACACGAACGAAGATACACGATGATAAACGAGAAGATATACTAATTTACTACTAGTAATACTAAAAGAACAGATAGTCAAGTGCACGTTTATTGAGGAATACTATTTTACGATCTTTTTCTTTTTTCTCTTTTTTTGCCCCCTTACTGTCCCACGCACGCTCAAAGAGAACGTCAGGGACAGGAGATAAAATTGTAAAGCATAAAAACGAAATGACAATATATTAGCTTGATCGATATTACGAACAATTATTTTCATCTACGACACTCGCCGCGAGAGTGCCTATAGCCTAAGACGCCCAAGTTAATTCGAACGAAGGACCCTGCACCATTCAAAGTAAAATAAATATTTTTGGCATTATAGTATATCTCTGTTAATTAATCGAACACGGCCCGATCAGCCACGCTGCATCGTTTGTCGCAATCGCGTGTAAAAAGCTCCGCGAGCTTTAAGTAAATACCTTTTTATGTTACAAAAATAATAATAACAATAAAATAGAGATACTGTGCTTTTTCTTTTCAAAATTCATTCGTTGCATCAAAATCCGCACAGTCTCTCGACGTGGGTATCCGGGTGAAATATGTTTCGGGCATTTTGTAAACTAATGTCAACGACGCAACAAAAGAGACTTCGTACGATTGCTTTGTCTACAGTAAAGTATAGAAAAATTTTTGTGACAAAGAGTTCGACTCCTTAAAAACGGTCTCGTGTTTCGCACGAGTGTACCGTGTTTTTTTTTAACCTTCATTTTTTGTTTCCTTGCCCCTGAAAGTTTTTCTTATCAAACTGGATTTCCTTGAAATCCACGTATCGCTATACGCGTTATCGAAGTCGATCGAATATCATGGAAAAAGCGATAAAAATATTTGAAAAGTAAACGCGGACCCATCGATATACGAGATGTTGCTTTATGTCCTTAGAAATTAATTATTTAAGTACAAAACCCTGTGATAACTATTCAAACTGAACAATTAGATTTTTTCATTCTTTTCGTTTATCTCGATTTAATAGAATGCAGATATCAGATAATAGCGTTTACCCGCTTAATCGCACAAGCAGTAGAGGCCCTTCGATGTAGCATTGAATCGCTTAAGCCTCCGTGCCAGAGCCCTTATACTTATGTAAAGTATACTCGTAAAAAATAAAAGGTATTCGAAAAACGATATACTCGTCAAAAGTATACGATGCACACGTCATTATCCTTTACTCTAGGGCAGGATTTCTTACTATACAACTATTATATTTCTTTTATTGAGCATATTTTAGAAATTGTTTGAATCGTTGTAGGAAGTGTTTGATTATTGACGTTGCTTTCACTATACTCTGGAACTCTAGTTCTCGCCAAACGTCTAGGATCATCCGTTTCGACGACAAGTACCGACAGAGCCTATCGTCGAGGCAGGAAGACACGAGGAGAATCAATATAAAAAGAATAAAGAATAAAGTTCATTAAAAGCTACTGACTTCCATAGGAATTAATTCTCGTATACCGTAAAGGTGAACTGTGAGAAAGAAAATTATAGGTTCAATAGAATATCAGTTGACAGCAGTTCACTTGGTACTTTGGATAGCTGCGATTTGACGTTTGGTACATGATATATGTATGTATAATAATACTCATTGAAGTCAGATGTCCGAGTATAGTGAAAGCAGTCATTATAGCCCCAGTTATCGGTTCTACCATTGAATACTCTTTATCCGTTGCGTTTGGAATTCCTAGGAACTTCTGGTTCTTCGCTTACTTTCCAGATAACGTATTATCATACTCAAGCTTGCTGGATCGAGGGTGTACCGTTATCTTTAGGTAGACCCTCGCTGGTCGAACGAAACTTTTTGTCGACCTCACTCACCTCAGGAAATAAAAAGTGTTCCCGGATTGGCTGAGGTTGCTCGTATGACGAGCCGCTCATGTAACCTGGCGACGGTGATTCGCTCTTCTCAAGGACAGGTGTAATGTTTGCGTAATTTCCTGCCGTTGTCGTCAGGCTGGTACGACCTTGCTCGACCAGAATACTACGATCTATTTTGTAATACTCTTTGCCACTACGAGGACGCAGAGTCGTGGTGACCGTCCTGCCTCCGAATCTGAAAATAAAAATTTCATGTCATTGCTTTTATATGGTATTATTTAATTGAGTATATCTTTATCTGAACTGATATGTGACTGTTATCGTTACCTGAGACTGTCCGGTGTGTCGGAGGAAGAGTGCGAGGAGAGTGACAGAGTCTCAATGTAATCGGACATGTCGGAAGTGCCACTGCTGGTACTGCGTGAGTCGATGTAAGGCGCACCGGAAGTGTCTCCAGGGCTGCTGAATCCTTTTGCAACCTTGGGCAAGCACGTGGGTATGTCTGCTTCGGCGGAGGATGATTTTGTAGGTATCTTGATCTTCTGAAATTGAAAGCTGAGCTCGCGCAGAGGATCGCTGGACTTTGATTTACGTGGTAGGCTGCTGTGATAGCAGACAGGTGGCGGGCTCTTCCGGTAAACGGAGATGACGTTGTGCTTCCTTGTGCTTGTTCCGTTGGATACCATTGATAACTCGAGATCCACCAGGTCGGCTGTTCTGTGACTGAGGGACCCAGTGGATACGCCGGAGTCATTGCTGCTCGAAGAGTCCCTGTTGTGCCCGGTCTTGGATGGAACCGACGAGGAGCGTCGTATCTTTATGGAAGATGGCTGCGAGGAGGCGACGGACGTCTCGGCGCTGTCCTGATTTATTTTAAGCTCGGAATCCATGCACGAGGTACGTCGCTGCTCCCTGTTAATTAGGGTGGCTTTGTCCGCCTCGCTGGAACATTTGTGAATGGTCATAGCTGACGGGAACGTGGGGCTTTCATCGTCGAGATAATGAGCAGACTCCGCGGAGTAGGATCTCTTCCTGATTAATATCCCGACGTTCCTCTTGGACTCGCCGCTCGCGTTGTCTAGGAACAGACGTCTCAAATAGGGACTGGACAGCATCGCCGAGCCAGGCACGCGATACTCGGAATCCGAACGTTTTCTATTTCCTTCGTTTAACGAGGAGCCTGACAGGGTCGGGTTGCTGGAGCTCTTCAGCCCGCTACAGATCCTATTCAGTATCTCCTTGGAGCAGGCATTGTGAGCTGGTTGCATTGGTAAGTAGCCAGGGAACGGTTTCTTTGGCGTAGACGTCTGTTTCTCTGGGTCCATTACCAGGTAATCATTCTCAGCATCCTTTACATGACCGCACTTATTGCAAACCTTTAGGCCGTCTTCATTCGTTGAATCCATTGTAGTGTCTTTCAACTGTTCAGCAAGCTTCTCTATCTCGTCTCTAGTAATACCGGTCTTTGCCAGAAGGTCCTTACTGTTCTCGTAATGTTCCAGAGACTGCGTAAAGTCCAGATTAGCATAGTTGGCTTGCTTCGATTCGGGCTGGGTGTCTATCACGGGATCCACGTTCTCATAGTTCCCAGAGCCACCGGCTGAAGCGCATTCACAATTCTCCTTGGTGCTTTCGCCATTTTCACTTTTCTTAGTCTTACTGGCAGTAGCGTAAATGGCAATTTCCCCATTGGCATTGACCACAGGCATCTTGCCCTCTCCCGAGAGTCTGACAGGATGAACGGTTACCCCGGTTGGTTCGATACCAGCTCCACGACGGCAATAAGGCAAAACAAAACCAGCCCAGCTCATCACGTTATGACACGGACAACCGGATGAACGTGGAGACTGAGGAGCAAGCTTTGCCGGGCATCCGCATTGCTGAAGTATCACGGCCTGAGGTACGTGAGGCGTATCATAATTGGGGTAGCTCTTGGGCAGTGCTAGACATTCTTTGATCTTCTTTGGGGTATCGTAGTATTGATCAGGCTGGTTAGCCTGCTCTATAGATACATGATGAGTCAGGATGCTCTTGGGTACGTCGTAATTCTCATATGGACCCGTGTTGGAAGCTGAACTGTTACGCGTCACTGACTGCTTCCGCTGGCACGTGCATAGCTGCTCGCTTGGCAATGGCATCGGTGGCTTCTTACCCTTCTTCATAGAGACGGACGGTTTTGGCGGTCTAGGTGGCGACACTAGCGGACTAGGCGACAGTCTGTGTCCACCCTGATTCTTAGACTGTGCGCAGTGACACTCGACCTGTTGCGAGCTGGAATAGTCGCTGTCGTGGCTACTGCTGCTGTACGAGGATAAAGACAGCCTGTCAAAGGCCCTCGGTTGCAAGTGACAGCCAAGATTATTTAAGGGCGGCGCTGGGCTACTTATTGTGCTGGCACCGGTGGTCGTGGCGGAGGTCGAGGATTTCGATATGGTGCCCAATTTACTGATGCAGCTGGCGCATCTCTCCAGTGCAGCAGTACTGTGCAGGGTCAGAGAACAGCTGCGCCATTCGCCAGGCTGATCGGTCAGCTCGGATACGGAGACTGTGTCACGGCAGCTGTAGTCCCCATCGATTTCTGTCTGTTGTCTGCTGCTCTCCGACGAGGACCAGTACGGGGAACTTTCGTTCTTACAGCTCTCGCAGTGCTCCTCGTAGGACGTCATCGTGTACACTGCCGACGGGAAGAAGTCACTGGCCCGGGTCTCGGACCGTGAAAACTGCCTGCGCGGACTCTCCTGAACTGACTGTTCCCTGCCGACTGGCCTTTTCCTCGTGGACAGTTTACCCTCCGCTGCCAGCTGTAACGTCTTCACGATCTCCTCGCCCTGGTCCGTTATCAAAACGTGGAGACCCTCTCCACGGCCACAACGGGAACCTCCCTCGAAGCAGAATCTACCCTCGACCACCCCATAGCGACGTAGATGAGCTATGTCCCATATCCCAACGAGTCTTGGCGGTACCCCAACGGTAATGCAAAATCGACGGTCCTGAACGTGAAGATGGGCTGGACCATTAGACAGCTTCGCCTTGGCCGGTGCGGTCGAGATCAAAATCAGAAACTGTTGATCTGCAAAGATGAAATAAATACCTCAGTTACCTAATTTTATTTTCTTATAAATATCTTCCTTCCACCTCAGCCTCCCGACCTACCTTCACCCAAATTACTCGATATCTTGACCTGCCACTGGATCAGCCGCTCTCTCGTGTCAAAGGCCAGGACCACCGTTACATCCTGACATATTATAGCAATGGTATTCGACTCCTTGTCGAGGGTGAACCCACTCTCGACCCCCAGGAAGTGCTGGAGGCTGAGTGACGCCTTGGTCTGGCTCTGCTTGTATCTGTCCTTACTATCGCCGTACAGCTGCAAGTGTAGACAATCTGAAAGCAATAGATTAGCCCATTAATAGATCCCTTAATTAGTCCCTATCTTTCATCTCGTTAACGTCCATCTACCCATAATCAACACGTTTCCTCATCCTAATTTACCAACCATAATACCATCCATCCAGCCACAATTTTAACCAAGGGTCAAACCTCAACTTTGACCCAGGATACCGCCATTGATTAATTGCATTTCCCACGTTCACGTTAAATCCCAAAGATAAGAGCCGATCGAAATTATTAAAACTTTCCAGCCATTACCTATATACCTACACGCATAGCCAAGCCAGAGCAGCCAGTCGAGTGGCTCTTGATAAAAGTTTACTCTGCCTCTGTAGAATCGCCATACAAAGTATAAAGACCTATAGGCGACTGACTATACAAACTTATTGATCCCCTTAACGAGTATTTTTTTTTTGTTCAACGTACGAATTTAGTTCGGGATAATTTATATACGCTGTAATAGTACGTAGCCTTACGCTGCACTTACACACGAGTCACTTTAGCCGGTAATGATACGTTATACCTAGACTCCTTTTTTTTTTTCTTCTTCTCTACCCCCTACCCATACCCCTCGCTGTATTTCTCTAGCTATTTCTTTACCGGCCTTCCCTTACCGCCATATGGCACTGACTTCCAGGAACGAATTCTTAGACTGAATTTCGTCCGACCCGATAACCGAGAGTATATTTCAGAGGGTCATGGTTTTAGTTAGGGCAGAAGAAAATGCGCTTCTTAAGTGACACGTGGGTTACGCTTTTTTTTTTCTTTTTTTTTTCACTACTCGTGTTACTTTTATCACTGGCATATGTCGAAATTAGCTAGACCGAGGGAATCCAGATTTAATGACGGTGGGACCGAACGGTATTAGGTAATAACGTGTGGTGGTAGTGTTACTTTAAAATAATATATATGCATATATAATATAGACTAACCTAAATAAACAACTAGTTCCAAACGACGTACAGAATGTTAAAATCTCCTAGCAACGCGTGACGTAGTCGCAGACCTAGTATACACGGGGCGACGGGCGAGCGTCGGCAATCGTTTGTTTTCACAGTAATTAGCCACGTTTCGTTGACGCAGGTAAACTCAGTTAGTATGACGAGGAGGCGCTGACGGAGAAAGATAAAAAAGAAATAATAATTAATGCCGGCCGAGTAACGTCATACGCCTTTGCACGGCTTTCAAAAGGCTCTTCCCGCCAGAAGTCGTTATTTCCCTTTTTATTTTTGAACTCTCAACGAGTCGACTCGTTCGCCCGAGCGTCCGTCGCGGATGCAGAAAACGAGACGCCGTGGTATTTACTACCGAGGCTATTATAATAATTATGCTTCCTGCGGGACGACGTATCGCCTCGCTTAATAGACCATTGTACCTGAGTGTACGTGAATTTGTGACAGGGACTGTACATTGTAATTATCACGTGCGGCATTATGCAAATGCACGGATCCTGCTGTTATCACTCGGTATGACTGTCTACGTATAATAATAATATTCAAAAACGAAAATACGTAGAAGGATTTTGGTAACAAAGTTTTGAGGTTAAATCGCCACCTTATATTTCCGGTTTAAATCATAATTCTGTATAGAAACGGCCGTGGCTCGCGGGATGTACGCGAAGCGTGATAAAAATTTGGATTCGACTTTACCTTAAAATCCAAATTTTTTTACGCTTATCAATCGATACGGTAAGAACGTTCTTCTTCTTATCTTTAAGACGGATTAATGACTGTTAACTGTAATTAGTCCTAGCGGTATTTAAGCGAAGTGGAAAAAATGTCTGCTGGAATATTTATATCGACGTGTGACTCTTAACGTGTGCATATTCACATATGGTAATGTTTGCCAGCGCGACAACCTTACGACCTAGGAATAAGAAAGGAGCCCGAATAAGTATGTGGTGTTATAAAGTTCAGGAGAAAAAAAAAAAACAAGACTGAAAAACGGAACTGGGCATCGCGATGGCTGGTTCCTTCCTCGAGACTGCGACTTCCTGTATAATTTTTTTTTCCCTTCTCTTCTGTTTATGTTAATATTATTTTTTTTCTTTAAATATTATATATGCAAATCACTCAGGCACGACGCATCCCCGTCTCTTAGAAACGGCTGTCATTCAGTCAAGTGTTTCTTTATTGTGTCTTCTTGATTTCTCTGTTCTTTGCATTGGTAATATAATACCAGCGTTTTAAATTGTAAATTAAGCCTTACCTGCAACCGGCGACAATTTTCTCATGACACACCATCTTGACTTCCACTGAAAAAGAAATTTATAATATATATATATAAGTTATATATCGGTTGCAATAACAATCACGTAAGAGATATTCGTTAAAGCACGTATATGGTATATCGGTCGAGTCGTTGTACGATAATTAACACTGTGAACGAGGCTTGAGGTTCACAGCAAAAAGTAAAAGAGCGACAATTATAAGTCAGATAAATTGGAACAGTGAAATGCTGCACTTTGTGTGTTTTTAGACAACGAGATAGTGAATACTTTTTTTTTTTTTTTTTTTTTTTTTTTTTTTTTTTTTTTTTTTTTTTTTTTTTTTTTTTTTTTTTTTTTTTTTTCATTTTGTTATCCGCAACCTTTTTCCTTGAACGTCGATATACCTGTACAGGTACATTCCCACCGGAACGTACAGTTATCTTTTAAGGTCGTAATCTTGGCGGTGGATAACCAATATTTTTGTAAAGCGATACTATCAATGTCCGCTATCTGTTACAACTGGTAGCAGTAACGGTTGCAAAGAGAAAATTGTTATCGGTAAAAAGATTTCCGAGAAATTGTCACTAAATAATTCATTGTGCTGTGCACGTAAAGTTCAGGCGCAGACGTCGAGAGCTTTCCAGAAAATGCCTATAAATTTATTCTTCAAGGTTTCACAATAAGGCATTGTCGTAATTCTAAGTACAATTATAATATTGTATTATGGCAACTGCCATTGTTGAACCCATGAACGATATAATTACATTCTATTTTTATAAAAGACCATTCATTCCCTGAGCTACAATTGGGGCATAAGTAAAGGTGCCTTATATCCCTTCTTAAACTTAAATACTACCTTCTTTTTCCTACAGCTGTACATACAGAGCCTCTACAAATGGCGGATGACTTTTTATTTAATCAACAGAGAATAAATTCAAGGACCCAGAATGCAACGAATTCAATGTCGCAATTACTTTTTTCCACGAACATGCCACTTTTTCTTCTTGGCACAATGACTTGTTATATTCTCAATACAATGCAATGCCGTGCTTGTACAATGTTTAACGCTTACATGAGAATAAAAGTTGGTATCCTTGAACGGATGCAGATAAAACGTTATTGCAGGTTGTAACCGTGCTGAAGTTATTTTGAAATATGCTTTGTAAAGAATTTTTGCAAAATTTCATCTGTGGTAAATTCGGGGAATCGACCTGAGGCTTATCTCAATCAGTCTAAGAAGCTGCGACTGATTAGACTAACGCTTTACGAGCAACTATTGAATATTATCTTGACTGAGATTAATTATGAGTCTCGAGCTAGCAGACATTTTCTTTATCAAAATCAGCAGAACTTGGCACGTTGCATCGAGGTAACATTGAGACTGTTGTTTACAATTCTTTTTGCAAATTCAACGTTAATGTTTGTCTTGCCATTTCTTCCCACCGTTCGACAAGCACGAGGTACATGCGGTTTGTTATTTATCAGGTATTTTGAGTCTGCCCCAATTTCGCTGACATTATGGTAAACATATCTAATATCGCAATATGCAAACGGCCGTAAAGAAGCGTACGCGCGCCGGATGAGAACTGGATGATAAATAAAAAAGACAAATGAAAGGCGTCAAGGGTGCTTGAAAGTTCGAACAATAAAAAGAAAATGTCACGCATTACTCCACATTTATTGGAGCGCGTTCCAGTTCTTTTTTCTCCTTCGAATTATCGTTCCCAATCGGTACTTAATGCCGGGCCATTAATACTGGGCTATCGGGTATAGAAAAATAGACGCGGGCTCAAATATCCCAGGCCCTATATTGCCCAATAGACATGTATCTTATTCTCCAAAGCTGATGGCATCACTTTCCCACTGGACAGGGTCCGACTTCAATTGATCTTAATTGATCCCGATAACGATTTTCAACTAGCCTTACATAATGTCTTCTGCAAAGTATCAAGTTCAGGTACGTGCGACCTGTTACAATAAAAAATAATTACAAGTGTGTCAGAGTGAACTGTCTGTAAAATAAAGAAAATAGAAACCTAGCTCCAAAGGAATCCTTGCTTCATTTCGCAAGACCAAGGAAAGACGTCGCGACGCCTGAGCCATTGAACCATTTACAACCATCCTTTTTCCCAGGAAGAATTGCACTAGTCAGACTCATTATACGCTGGTAGAAACTGTCAAAAATTTGTATTCCCCGTGCCTCTAGCTATTCGAATCGCTCGTTCGTTATTTTGCTATTGGAAAATATATGGATATACACACGGTAATAAACGAGCCAGGGTACGTACCTTCTTGCCGTCGCGAAATTTGACATTTCCCTCGATAATGCAATTGTTATCCACCATTGTAGAAGGCCGCCGATATTTCCCTGGCAGATGTTTTTCTCATAACTGGTCCACACTCCGGCACTAAAACCCCATACCGGTAAAATCAACCTCGTCGCGTTACTAGGATATACACCAAAAAACCCACCACTGTTCGTTTCACCGAGACGCACAACCCATACCCACAAATCACGCGGTAAAATCCATACCGAAATCCGTCGGCTCCCGAGCATCCATCTTGACTTGCTCTACTATCTGTACCCGAACTCGACCGTATTCCTCTACTATATCCCCGTGTGTTAAATGTACAGTGGCGTAGCTACTAGTCGTTTTACTTTGACTCCTTCCTTGTGACGCGACTATAGTCAATTGTGTATACTCTCGCGGCTATAGTGAATGGGCACTAACCGTCAACGCAGGCTTGAAACGAACGATAACCATTGGCTGCCTCTGTAGCCGTGGATTTTCCTGGACAAAACAATGTTTTTTTTTTAGGTTATAACCGTCCCTGATCGTTATTTACAGCGGCGATAGACGCTTTGTCTATTTTTTTGTATCTGGTAATTAACGATGGCTTCAGTCTTACTTTAATGCTTTCGCCTTTTTGTATTTTACCAGATTTCCTAGAAAATTCTATTTTACTTTTGCTTTCGGTCTCGTGTCGGGGTTACAGTTACCTGACGTACATTCGTCTTCGACTTCGTAGTATCACCGACAGATGGAGCCACGGTTTTTACACTCGCCGTGCCATCGGTTTTGCTTTATGGCGTATTTTTAACGAGATTGCTGTAAACTATTTGAAATATTGACGGGATACTGGATAGAGTCACACGGGAATTAAGATAGCTATGGGTTTTTTATTCCTTGTTTCATGTTATTTATGGGTTTTAGTTACAGCGGTGTAAATGAATGCTCGTAATGTCTCCGTTCTTTATATGTAATAAATATGACTTATACGAGGAAAAAGAATAGTTTTGTAATAATATTAATTTATGGACATTTTATTTTATTTGGTGTCCATAAAATAATTATATCCCATGAAAACTGAAGGCTGTAGTTATACGACAATATTATACGTACAACTCAATCATGGTGCATAATATACACTAACCTGAATCTTATCAAAATAAACAGCTCTTAAATGTACCATAAATGGCTCCATAACGTTGTACCACACGATATAAATATATACTTTAGCCTGTATTATGTGGAGCTTAAAAAAAACACGATACAACCCCATCGCAGTGTCGTTATAACATTAGACGCGGATGGCGCCACTAGTGCTGCAATTTCAAAGAACCGATTACCGACAGAACTTACAAGCTTAGAAGCTTCGGCTTTAATATAAATGGGCTAGACATACCCGTGGATTTTGTGTCGTGCGATTCTGATATACAGAATATCTGTATATAGCATTTCATTGGGTAAAGTCCATTTATATGTGTCTTGGATACCCTGGCAAGCGTGACATCATATCTCATAAGATGTCCGGTCTGTTTACCTTCTGAGTGAATGGTGGAAGCGTAAAAAAATTATGATAAATAAATAAAAAATGATTCAATATTTCGAGAAAAAAAAATTAATTTCCTTGCTTCATGTCACAATATATATATATTTATTTCAGAAATGAAAAAAAATACTGTTAAGAGTCCCGTGAGAATATCTTTGAGGAAACACGCCTCGTTTCTTGCTCTTGTTATTTCGTTTTCAGGAAATTAAAGGAATTAGAAGTCCTAAGGCGTATTCTCAAGCGAGCGGTACGTTAACGTGTATTTTTAAAAGGGCGACCGAGCCCATCACGATTCTATCTGCCGCGGCGAAATGGTACGTGAAATTAAAGCGGCCAGCACGTAAACGACAGTTACCAGTTGAAACTTTACCATCCCCCGTGCATTATTCACCAATGATCTTACGGCTGTTTCGTACGGGGATTGTTTGGTGGCGACGACCACCAAGCATTGCGGTTTCTCGCCTACGCGAAAATAAGGCCGTGTATACAAAGTAGCTGGAGCGATAATTTTTCATTACTCCGCTTTTAATATATATTCGTTAATCCCGCAAGAAGAAATATGACCGCGCGATAAATAAAGCAGTGTCAAAAAAATATTAAAGGCAAATATACGACAGTACGAAACTAGGCTAACACGAGAGATCAAGAGGTCGCTATGGGTAGAGTTATCGGCTCTGATTTTTACGTAACCTTCAAATATATTCACCTACAAGATTAGTCGAGTCACGTTGTATTTTTTTTTTCATAAATCCCAATAAATCGGATAAAAAAAAAATTGCGCGAATATTTAAAAAGAGAATTTTTTATTATATAAAACAGACTTGTAGCTCCGTATTAAAGAAAGTATGCAAATATTTTTTTTTTTTCAGTACCAATGTGTTTTGTATACATACCAAATATCTTGTGCATCCTGCTGCCAGGCTGACTCTGACCAGTGAGATAGAAAGCTCCGTTGCATAAGTCCAGCAAGACCGGATCCTCCTTTAGTAAAAGCAGTCTTCCAAGAGTTAAAGGCGCTGCGACGCTCATCTGGAGAAACTTGAACGAGAATTTTTACTGGTTCGCCAAGACGCAGCAGTCAGGAATCTTATGGATGAAATCATAAAGGGGATGTTATTGGTTAAAGTACGGTAAACCAACACGACCTATATAATACCTATATAAATAACGTACACCACATATATCCCATGTGCTGTTTATCCCATAGGATAAGCTGAAACGCACAAAAAAAAATATATCCAAGAAAATAACAGCGTTCATAGTTCGCGTGGTATCTTGGAATTTGCCACTACACCGATTTATCCCACAGCACGCTCCCGTGGAACCACCCTGAAATCAATCATTGTGAGCCATTTTTATTGCAACGGACGTTTAGCCTGATCCTAGACTATTATCGAAGAATACATGAAGAAAAGTTTGTTTTTTATTTCTCCTTATTTATTTTTTTTTCTTTCTAGAAAAATTTCGTTCGATAAACTTGGACGGACTTTATTTTTAGAATAGATTTTGAAGTTTTGTCATTTGCTCCTCAATCGTTTTGAAAATATTATTTCTTTGTTACGTTGGATTACTGTCTAGCACTTTCATACACTATATCGAACTGTCACGTAAAAACCACAAATTCACCAGTTCGAGTTTCCTTCCGACCGAGTAAAATGAAATTCTATGGGAGAATCATAGGAATCCACCGCAGAGATTTTATCAAGCACGAACTATAGTAACAGAAGACACGTGTAGACTTTTGAATGACATAAAAGCGACCTATGAATTTTCCAAAAGAAAAATAATGAATAAATTTTGTATCAGCATGGAAAAATTATTTTATAATTCTTTATAATCGAAATCATGCCATACATAGATATATATAGTATCTCGAAAGTCTTAAATATAAATGTTAACAATATTATAAAAGTAAAGAATCATTAGTGATTATTGATTGAATATAACTGAATAAATGCTCGATCGGCCTATACCGTGATTTTGCTACCACTAAGGAAATGTTGTTCCTTCGGAGAAAGGGGAACGGCAAGCAAGAAATACAGCTGCATGTCGATCCGCTTCATTCAGTACGTGATACTCATCGTCTGCATACGCGCAACAGCTTCGTCGGCCTAAGAAAAAATTTAGTGATTAATAAAATTTTTTTTTATAAATATCAATATTAATAAAAATGGTGAATTTATAATAAAAAAAAAAAAATTATCTTTCCTTCATTTCACTTACCGCCTATCAGTGCTCGACTCGCGCAAGGAAGTAATATTGCTAAAGAGTGCAGTGGGGTAACTGTGAGGCTGTGGAATTGTAAAAAATTCTTTGGATTTGCTATATAGATTGCTATATAGATTAGGAAATGACGTCATGAAAGTCCCTATGGTACTATAAATCGTGATAACAGTCGATTCCTTTCTATACGAAGCCTTAGGCACTGTGATATATATATTTCGATTGATATTGATATTACCAACCATAGAAAGATGGGTAAGAGACGATGAAACGATATTTAAAGTAAACAGGATAAAGTATAAAAAATAATAAAAATATAATTCAATTAAAAATCTTTATCATAAGAGAAAAGTTTCGAGGTTACAATTAACATTAAGATATTTATAAATAAATAATAATAATGGCCATCAAGACAAAATATTACGTGGTCGTGTCGTTATTGTTATTCGTAAAAATGTCAAAGGCCGGAAACGAGTCGAACATCCAACGTTTGAGCAAACCTCGGAAGGAATCGACGAAAGTGACAGCGCCTAACTTCAGCCCGAACGAGAGCTCGGCCGAGAGGAACGATACGAAAGATTCCCGATTGCCGTTGATAGAATTCAGCAAAAACAATCCGGAGCTCGATTGGAAGAACTATCTGAAGTTGGCAACGGTCGAGGAGGCGAAACAGCCGCGCCATCTGGACGTCGACTTTATGAACGAAAAGCTCGAGCCTAGCGGCAACAGCGTGAAGTGGCTCGCCGATCTCTACGACCCACTGAAATGGCTGAAAGCCCCGGGAAAACTCGTGGGCGATTGCAGGAAGGATATGGACTGGTTTCTTGGGAGTTTGAAAGAAGGCGAACTCTGGTCCGCGCGAAGTAAGTCGGCACCGTAAATCGTGATGTTTATGCGAACGCGCCTTGAGGCGTAGAAAGAGAAAAGCCCGTATAACACGTTATCCATCATTACGCAATAGACCAACCAATTAAAAGCCAGGATTTCAGGATAGCCAATTACCAAAACATAAATCGCGGCTGTTATTGAATTTCCATTAAAATCTAATTATTATTAAATTTAAAAAAAAAAAATTTAACAATAAAAAATTAATTGGCTATTTTACCATTAAATATTTGATGGACAATTTTTTGAATTTTTTTTTTATCATCTGATATTTTTTTTTTTCAACTATTCCTTTGTTATCGGCACTCTTGTCCCCGTGACAAAACTCAATCATGTTCAATAATTATTATTGATCCTATCGAATCTCGTTTATGTGCAACGTCCTTTGATCGTAAGACCGGTTTAATAACTTTTCTTTTAATAAGAGAAAATTGTCGTTTCCTCGGCAAACAACTAAATATAGATATACAATCCACGGTATAACTCGAGCAGCAACCACAGATTGCACTTTCTACTCGACAGTTGATTTTACGTACATTTTACGTAACTGGCAATGAACCTTCCATTATGGGAATTCGAGTGGGAATCCAAAACGCCTTTGTCCCTTGTAAATTCCTGTATCACACATACGAGAGAGTTAACGCGTTAAACTTTATCGTTAGACGGAATCCCATCTTAACGCCGAGGTCAATAGGTCAACCCGGTGTATCTTTCTGCAGGAAGAGTATACCTTTTTCTTGACCCCGTTAAAGCACTTTTCACAGTCTTCGCTTCAGCCTCAAACAGCTCGCGTCACGTAATTCGTAAATGGAGTCACGTATGTCGAAGTGACTAAATGAAGCACGTGACACGTGGAAAAATAACATGTCCAAAATTTTTTGAAAATCAAAAATTAAAATTTTCTTAATTTTCAAACGTGCCTGGGGTCAAAATCATTTTAACATTGGCAAATTTACGTTAAAATTTATTTATGATTTATTTTCCTTATCGTCGCTTGTTATCAGTCGACATATTTTTTTTTTTTCTCTTACAGTGTCAGATGCCAGTGGACGATACTCCTCTCAATTTTATTTCGGAAATGATTTCTGGCTGGGATCAAGTACCCTTTGTAAGGAGCTCAATGGTACGAACAGCGATGAGAATTTTGTCACCCCCGAAAACGTGCCACCCTATAGGGTACGCTTTCATGTAGCCAGGATGTACCTGACGTTACCAAGGGACGTAACGCCTTCGGTGAGTACTGACTTTCTGAAGTGAAATAAATGAAATTTCCTTTATGAGAACCTGAGTTCTCCCCTGAAATTGCCGGCGGTGAAATTTTTATAAAAACTTTGAGGTCCGAAATAAACATTTTCGAAGCTGCCACGAGGAACCTGAGAAACGTTGATGAATATTTGACAGCGTATCTCGCGCTAGTGAGAAAAGATGGTAGGAATAAAAGTGAATTAAAAAATTTTACCTCGAGACCAGCTTGAAAGTGTATGAAAGCATTGTTACATTAAAAACCCGGTATTTCCAAGTAACACGTATACTTGTCCAAAAGCGTATTTATGCAACTGTGAAACTGAATTGCCAATGTAAATAGGGGTTGAATTGGTTAAACAACGAAGGGTAGTTATTAATCCTAGATTCTTCTTTTTTCACCTTTAAGGGTCGACCGCGATTTGTCTTGATTTTCTTTAAAATTTTCGTTAGGGGTGCAACAGAGGGTAACTACACCCCCCATCCATTTACTTTTGAACTTCTGCTTTTGTTTTTCAATTATTATTTTTCATCCCTTTCTGTCTATCTTTTAGTTTATTCAATGTGTTTTTACATCTATTTTTCAATCTGTCTCACCATCTATATCATCCTACAAGGGATGTATCGATTATACGTCATAGGATAATTATAACCTCGACAAAGAATCTGTATAAATCTGTAAATGTATATAAGCACACACGAGGTTCGCTTATTCCATATAGTACATGTTTTTTTTTACGCTATTCCAGACCCTTTGATCTGAAAAAGATTAGGGAGTGGATCGGACGTGTGTAGCAGGTAGATTTAATGAAAGGTGCGCGCGCAGCATGGCATAAGGGGTGTATCGAGTGAAGGAACTAGGACGAAGGTGACGGATGAGAAGTCAAAATAAAAAAAGGAAATGACGAATAGCTGAGAAAGGTCTGAAAGAAAAAAAGAAAAATAATAATGCGAAGATGGTCGACCGAGTGAAAAATATTTGGCTCGAACGATGGTAGGGAGTAGCGTTGCGTGGTGAATTTTTTTTTTAAGGATTTATTTCCACCCTTATCTCTCGTCCCGCGTGTCCTCCCATTAACGAAATTCTTTACCAACATTCCTTTCTGTTCTCGACGACATACCCCTCGCCTGCCAAACACCTTTGAATTTTCCCGCCAACCTGCCTCATTTGCCGCGTCTAAGGTGTTACCGAAAACAACCACCTTTGAACCTAAATGTAACGTGCACAGTATCGGACGTATAAAGTTCTTCGTTACGTGTTACTTGTGCTCGATTCCTCAAAGGGGGATTCCCCTCTTTTTCTTTACCCAGTACTTTTTGCAGATTTATTTTTTTTTTCCCTGCAAAAAATCTCTTATACAAATGACCCACTTTTATTTGCAGACGCGACAAATTTTCTTGGGACTCTGCCTACCCGCAACGTGCCACCGGGACGACCTGATGTCCATGCTCAGGGCCAGTGCCGATAGGGTGGAAAAGGTTGGCAATACCACCCACCATGGATCAGGCCCCAAAATTCATATAGCATCCATCAAGTCGGTCCCAGCCAATGACTATACACCATGGACGGACCCAAAAGTCTGTATACTATCGTGAGTAAATTATTAATACCTATATATATACACATGCATAAACCTTAAGGCGGCCTCGTTCAAATCGATTCGACGGAATCGTCAAGCAAACTCCCCCTCGTTTCGAAAGCTGCCCGTAACTGCTGTATACGACGACTTCCGGATATCCGGGAACAACTTCCGCTTGCATTGGAACTTACGGAACCCGTTTACCCCTCTGACCTCCCCGCCACCAGTTTGACTTTGTCGACTGGATGCACTTTGAGAAAGTCGTCGGCTGACCTTTACCGCCACGAGCGACCGTTGAAAAATTGGCGGGATTTTCAAAATTTAAATTTGACAAATCCCACGGAAATTAATTTCCACGATTGCTCGGTGCTCGGAAAAACTTTTCAAAGTGGCAAAAATAATTTCCTAAATTTCCTAATTCGACCATTCGCAAAAATATCTACTGTACCGTATATGAGATACGTATTTGCAAGTCACTAGTCGTACGAGTACGCACGCGTGTAACACTTTCTGCACTTTCTTTCGACAGAATCGACCAAGCTGCACCTTGCGCAATGAACTACGTCATGCACTATCGAGTATACCTATAAGTGACATTTTACTTATTGTTAGCCTTACGATAAATTGCATATGGCGATCCAACGTTAATAATCCGTTTAACGGTAGGGCTTGGGGGGGGGGGGTGGCGGAGTTGAATAAAAAAATTCGACATTCCAAACACGGCGATTAAAAATCACAGTGTAGATATGTGATAATAAGAAAAAAAGTTACGACCCTTAAAAACAATTTTTGCCAATTCTCAAAATTCACCGTACTATAATTCCAGCCATCCCGCACCTTTTTTTAATTCTTATATTAATATCACAATCGCTCGATTTCACATACGTAACATATGTAACGTATGCGTCACGAGTGCGTTACTCTACGCGGCTTTCGCGGCTTTCACACCGAATCAATTTTTTCTTAAGTACAATGTGCACTGGTGGGTATGGATAGGCCGTATCTATATTGCACAATTTAACACGGTCACAACACCAGTAGCAACATAGTGGACACGCGTTATGTGGGATGCATTATGGATTAGTATATATATATATATATATATATATAAAGCTACAAA